CATGTACTATGTGTTATTAGCGAAACAATAACGAACTAACCAGCGACATGATACTTAGCTACATACGTTCAAAATTTAAGAGGACTTGTCAAGTTTTAAAGATTATATATGTGAATTATCTAATAATGATCCAAATTAAATCTGTAAGGATCCCCTAACTAAAATTCACGTTTTAAAGTTTTAGTAATAATATTTAAACAGAAAAAGTGATATGCTCCGAGGGGGGGCTACTTTTTTTCCCCTTTTTTAATTCACACCACCACTCCTCTTTCTTTTAATTTTTTGTTTACTTTATGTTTACTCTACAGGATCCAAACTCTTCAAATTTTGGAAATTCTGTGCAATTGGGTGTAAAGTGAAACATATAACTCATACGTCTCAATATTTTCACAAAAAAAAAAAAAACAAAGTTTTAGATGATCAGTTTTAAACCATATTATTCACGTAAAATATTGAATGACCTATGATATAATATATGAATATTACCCAATTTGATTAATTTAATTTTGCATACGGCCTGTTGAACCGTTGCTAGTGATAGAAATATATAAAAACTCTTGTTATATTTTTTTCCTTCTTCAACCTTGGTGAAAGGGCAAGGTACTAAAAACATTAATCACTGCTCATAATTGTACTAGTCAAGATCCTTGTTTAGAGTAGTTAATGATTAAGATTGTAATCAAACTATGGTCAATCATAAATAAATATAGTATTTTATTGAATCAATTAAAGTAATAATTCAATTAACTAAATATTGACCTAAATGTCAAGACTACAAAAAAAAAAAGTGAGTAACAAATTGTCATCGTTTTATTATTTAATTAATTCTCAGGCTTTTTACCCACTCCAACTTCTTAAAAAGAATCCTTTTTCCCGGAAAAGAGAAGGAAGAAGGCTAGAAACAGTACACAATGAATTTTTCTAAAGTAAACAATCATGAACTTTGAAAATTTTCCGAAGAAATTCTTAACTACACGAAATTGGCTGGGTGAGTGATTAGGTCTCTTTTCAAGGTTAATTATGGTGTTGCTCACAAGATATATTATTGATCATGAAGACAATTTGTCATAATTGGGTTGAAAGAGAGATATTTTGGTTATGACAATATAGGTCTATGTCATGGAGGTACATAACCTTTTTGACCTGGAATTATATGCATGTTCCATTCAAATCAAGCATGCTCGTAAACAGAGGATGATGATAATTGTCAAAATTCAGAATTTTCGGCTTAGTAATTTCAAAGTATTTTCCCTTATAATTAACAAACATTTTTTTTTACTTTTTAAAAATGACCAATATAATATATAGACATATAGTGATGAACTACTCTTTGAATTATTTGCTGAATTCAAAATTTCGAATGATCATGCACTGAAAAATATGCCTTTGTGTCCACTAATTAAGAGATCATGATATCCACTGTAGGTGCCTTATTCTTTTGAGCGACATGATAAGAATATACTAACTTTCATGCTAATCAAGATTTAATTTTAATTCTTTTGAACAATTCTGAGAGAATAATTCTCCTTGCACTAAAACCTGTGTTATCTAGTCATCCTAAAAGTTTCAAAATATTTAACTTTGATTAGCATAATTAAATCGGAAAACAGGTATGTTTTTTAATGCCCAAACACCTTTTTCACTATCATTAGAAGAAAAAAAATCATATCCAAGGATTCGGATATTAAAAATTTTCAGTTAAAAATATTAAAATTTATTATTTTTAAAAGGCTAGGATTTCTACCCATTATTAACAAAATAATTTTGAAAAATATTACTATCAAGTTTTTACTAGAATTACAGCAAAATAAATTAAAATGATTATTTCTTAAAATTTATTAGCAAGATCTTTTCTACAAGTAAAAATATAATTTTACTAAGAGGGGTGTGTGTGTGTGTGTTTTTTTTTTTGAACATTGAGATATTCTTAAATATAAATTTCTCCAAATAATATCTTTTAAGAAGTACTTTATCTTGTTATGGGTAGCTACTTTTTCTTGGTTAATCTTTATGAAATAGATGAAATTAAAGACAATAATACATTCAATCATGGAAAGTGGAATTGAAATAGGAAATGTGAAATAGTGTATGCTTAATTTTGAAATAGAAAGCGCTAGCTAGCTGCTGCTTCGTGATAACTACTTGCCCACCAGCGTCAAGCTGAAATAGTCTCCATACTTTAATGAATTCATTATTCAAGTGACACCAAAAAAAGATTCCGAATTTCTAATCATAATAATTCAAAAGCATATAGATAACATCACCTATATCCAATGAAATTCGCATGACTTATAAATTCCATTCTCAAAATTTTAAGAACTATACTTGGTGATTTTCTCAATGCATTGGATTTTCCCCCATACTTTCTTGTGATTTTTGTTAAACGCAAGTGATGGCCAATGATTGATGAAAGAATATGAAATCACTTATTGAAAAAGCTTTAATTTTTTTTTAAGTTTGACTTTCACACCTAATATACTACTTAGCTCGAAGACCATTTTTATAGTATTTTGGTCATTTTATTTTTGTATTTATTTAACTAAATACAAAAAATAACTTTTATGACTCGCCCTCAATTAACATTTTACTAAAACAAACTCATAAGTCATAACGATGAATATTGCATCATAAAAAAAATCTGATCTCATCTATTAAAAGTAAGTTTTGGATTTGGTGGCTGTTATATCTCATGTAATATAGTAATAATTATTTATTAAATGACTATCAAAGATTTAATTATATAATATAAAATTTTAAATTTTTGAAGATAATATCATATGCAAGGAGTGTCATGATTGTGAGAGTTATATTAAATTTTCAAATGAAAATGTATTTAAATAATTTTAAGTATTAATAAATCTGCAATAACTATAATTGAGAAACTTGTTAAGTAAATAGATTATCACTCATCCAATCTAAATCCGAGTGGTAGATTGCTTCCATATAATTTAATCTATTATTTAATTTTACAATATTGCTAAGCATTGATGCTTTTGTTTTATGGAAATTGCATGTCAGTCAGTTTTTCATGTCACCAGAATGAACTTGAAAAGTCAATTAGTCAAATAGAAGTGCGGCCTCCGGAATCATCTCTCTGTTTATTTCTCGTCAAAATCCTTCTTAAACGTCGCCACAACTTTTTAACCTATTCGACTCTCTTCTCTGTTTTTCTTAAAAGGGAACCACCAGTCTACAACACAATACATACTTGCACACCTCATGCTCACGGAATCAAATGTCTTAGAACTATTATTGCACAAGTATTGGATACTTTAAACTTTTATCTTTTAAAAATTATATGATATTTTTAATCAAGTCTCAATCTTAATAAAATAATTAATTATTTTTAAATTGATATAATTTTTTTATATTTATTCTTATTTAATAAAATATTTTACTTTAAAATACCTTTTCAAGACCAACATATAAAGTATTGATGATCAATTCATGATTATAAAAAAAATGTTTGTTGAAATCGTAATATCAATTATATTCCTGTTAAATACTCTATACAAATATCTTGATAATGATAATTAAAATTTTAATGTATTTTTTTAAAATGAGTAATAAATGAAATAGAAATATAGTTTAAAATACAGTTATAAACATATATTTTATATGTTGGATCAAGCAATAGTTTTAAAAGATGCCCTATATTGTGGTTTTGGAGAGAGTAAATGTAAAATGATTTATTTATTGTGGATACTTTAAAAAATATATTAATAATATCTTGAAATACTTTTTTTTTAATATTTTTAAATATCTAACATTTTAAAAAATATTTTATATTTTCAGACGGAAGGGGTATTTACTGCTATGATATGAGAACTAACGCTTTAATTTTGTACAAGTAAATAGTTAAGATTATTGAATGCTACTGCAAGAATAATTTAAAAAAAAATAGTTTTTAACCTTTTTTAAAGTAGCAGAAGAGTTGATATATGATTTACTCTCTCTTTTCTTGCCCCTAAATTTAAATAATTCTCAGTTAAAAGTTTATATATGAGTTTTGAAATTATCAAGAAATAAAAATACAAAATTGTCCGAAGATTTTTTTATGTAGCTTATTATCTTTTACCGCCCTCTTCCATATTTATTTGTCTTATTTATTTTTTCATTTTGTTTCTAAATACCTGTCTTGTTTTAAATTTCTATGTAAATAATGACTTGTTCCCAATAATATCCTTCTAATTTTTTAAAATAATTAAAATTTTAATTTTGTGATAGTAAATGGAAGATAAAAGTGGAAAAAAGTATTTTCTATTCTCTTCGATAGGTATATTTTGTCCTATTGGCCATGACGATAAGTAGTAGTAAATAGGAGCTGATGAAGTAATTTAAAAGCAAATTCGAATTTGCAAACCAAAAAATAAAATAAAATTAAAAGAAAATTTAATTTTCAATCCAAGAAAAGCACATTTAGTTTCAACTTGAAAGAATATCGCCTTCCATGAATCCAAAGAGAAAAAGAAAAAGAATATCGCCGTTCTTTCCTCCCAGTCTCTCTAGTCTTTGTGTCACAGTTTATGAGCATACAAATTTTCTTTCCCTTTCCTTTAAAGTTCCACATACGCAAACGCCAGCCAAGCGCAGTCTCTCTCAATTCCATATTCAGACAAAAACTATCCATAGGGGAAATTACATAAAAGGACCATACAATGATATTAATTGCAGCTAAAGGTTACAAGTTTTTAGACTGTGGTCTCTCGTGATATTTTGTGAATTTCTTTCACATGACTTCAACTTTTTTCCCCTCAAGAAAACCTGGTAGATTTTCAGCTCTCCATAGTTGAAATTGATTGCTGAATTTGAGGGTGGTACTCATGATTTCTGTTGTGTAACTTGTAAATAATTTTAAAATGATTTTGAGACTTTTTACTCCAAAATAGACTAGGAATAAAATGACTAAAAGATATGGTTCTTAATTATAATTAATTTTAATACAGAGTCTGTATCTGTGAATTTCATCTCCACGGCCCTTCACTCTTTCTTTTCCCTACACATAAGCCCACCAAAATAGTATCTTCTACCTTTCCCTTTTTCGTTCTGTTTTCTTCTCCAATTCCTCCAAATCCTCATACCCGGCTTCCAAATCATCATCATCATCATCCGCCATCTTTCGCTTGTTTCTCGTTTTCTTTAAACTTCGCATCTTTGTATAGCATCTGTGTCATTGCTTTATTCGATCGAGCTGTGATGGAGCCGCCGCCGGAGGGTGCTGGGATAGCGTTGGAAACGGCGGAGAAGATTGTACTCCGGTGGGACTCTACGGCGTCCGAAGAAGCCCGTGAGAAAATGATCTTTGAAGGCGACCGTCAAGAGGTTGATCTCTATTTACAGGCTGTCGATGAAATCCAACGCTCCATGTCTTCCGCTTCCATCTCCGATACTGACCAAGATAAAGTCAACTCTGCTATTCAGATCGCCATGGCTCGCCTCGAAGACGAATTTCGTAACATTTTGATTTCTCACACCAACCCTATCGAGGCCGATTCGTTGACCGATCCAAGCTCTTCGGTTCACTCTTGTTCTCTGGCAACTGAAGGAGCTGAGCTAGACGACGATACTAATATTGAAGAAGAAGAGCATGCTTCGCTTATTAAAGCCGAAGAGCTTCTTCGCTATAACAGTGATGCTTCCAGCGCCGCTAATAGTAGCTATCGATCTACCAGTAGTATTCGCGAGATCGATCTGATACCTTCTGATGCCATTTACGACCTTCGAAGCATCGCTGAGAGGATGATCTCATCTGGATATCTGCGTGAGTGCATACAGGTTTATGGTAGTGTGAGGAAATCAGCCGTTGATGCGAACTTTCGGCGACTCGGGATTGAGAAGCTAAGCATCGGTGATATTCAGAGGTTGGAGTGGGAACAGCTTGAGTCTAAGATCCGACGGTGGATAAGGGCAGCTAAAGTTTGTATCAGGACATTGTTTGCCAGCGAGAAGAAGCTCTGCGAGCAAATCTTTGATGGCTTAGGGACTGCAATTGACGATGCCTGCTTCATGGAGACAGTTAAAGGTCCGGCAATTCAGCTTTTCAATTTTGCCGAAGCTATCAGTATAAGCAGGAGATCCCCTGAGAAATTGTTCAAGATTTTAGACCTTCATGATTGCTTGATGGATTTGATTCCTGATATTGATATTGTGTTTGATTCCAAGTCTTCGGAGTCTATTCGCATTCAAGCTGCGGAGATATTATCTCGGTTGGCTGAGGCTGTAAGAGGTATACTATCCGAGTTTGAGAATGCTGTTCTTCGTGAACCATCCAAGGTCCCGGTTCCTGGTGGGACAATTCATCCATTAACAAGGTATGTCATGAACTATATAAGTTTGATCTCTGATTACAAGCAGACATTGAGTTCGCTTATAGTGTCTAAACCGTCAACCGGGTCGAGGTACTCGGGTGATCCCTCAATCCCAGATATGGATTTTGCTGAACTAGAGGGTAAAGCCCCATTGGCTGTTCACTTGATTTGGATAATTGTCATATTGCAATTCAACTTGGACGGCAAGTCCAAGCACTATAAGGATGCATCTTTGTCGCACTTGTTTATGATGAACAATGTTCACTACATTGTTCAGAAGATAAAAGGGTCTCCTGAATTGAGGGAGATGATAGGAGACCATTATTTGAAGAAGCTAACTGGGAAGTTTCGGCAGGAAGCTACTAGCTACCAGAGGGCTACTTGGGTAAGAGTATTGTATTGCTTGAGAGACGAGGGATTACATGTGAGTGGTGGGTTTTCTTCTGGGGTCTCCAAAAGTGCTTTGAGAGAAAGGTTCAAGTCCTTCAATGCTATGTTTGAGGAGGTTCATAGAACCCAAGCAACCTGGTTGATTCCGGATTCTCAACTCCGGGAAGAGCTTCGGATATCAATATCGGAGAAGCTAATACCAGCATACAGGTCATTCCTTGGGCGATTCAGGAGCCACATTGAGAGCGGAAGGCATCCAGAAAACTACATTAAATATTCAGTTGAGGACCTGGAGAATGCTGTTTTGGATTTTTTTGAAGGGTACCCTCCTTCCCAGCACTCGAGGAGGAGATCTCAGTGATGGATTGAAATGAATTTTGCAACTTAGAAACTAGGACACATTCTTTTAATTTTTTCCCTGGAGCGTTCAGGGAACTGAGTGTTGGCCATAATGAGCATTCTCAAGCTCTCAGGTATTCCAAGATTCACCATCCATCATTCTCTGGAATAGAAGAGACTAATACTCTGTCCACGATTGGTATGGCTTCATTAAAAAGCCAAGTTGCTCAGCCTGAATGCCTCTGCCATGTAAGCATGTTATTGATTTATTACCACATTCTAGATGTTGTTTTATTTGTTCGTAATGTGATTTTGTTGGATGTGTGTTATTGTTCTCTGAAATATAATGTTATAAAAACAGCTTCTTTTGCAGCTTCAGATGGCTTTTGTACAATGTGACAGTTTTGGCAGTAATAAGATGCTTTTTGAAAATGAAACCTGAGATAAACTCAAGTCATTCGGAATTACGTGTTTGTTTGGTACTCACGAAATCATGAGTCTTGAATGGAAAATAGAGGAGAGCTTGTACACTCAAAAATGGAATTGCCTATATGTTTTGACTTTTTTGGAAGTCACACTTGGTAGATATCTACTTTCCTGTAGTTTCTTATCTGTCTGTCTTCTGTAGGAGTTGTTTGATGGTCTTTCTATCCGAACACTTCCACGAGTTCAGCGCTGCAGCAATGAGCAAACCGTGAAGGAATGATTTTTTGTTCTTTGCCTAGCACATGCGCTTGGATTCTTAATTAAATTGTTGTTAAAAGGATTTGATCATAAGTAATCACGAGGACGAAAATCTCTTTAATGTTACTCTATATCCTTATCTGCAACTGAAACTTATGAGAGAACAGTATAGAAGAATGATGAAAGAAATAAAAAAAGAATAATTTAGAAAGAGGGTAGCTTAGAACTTATTTCAAGGGTCGCAACTACGTGCATTCTAGTCTTTTTGTGTCATGTTCTTTCAAATCACCTAGTGAAGCCCCATAGCTGCACTCTAGTCACCGTGTTGTTTGCTTTAGAATCGCTTGAGAAATTGGTAATGATTATGACTGTCAGGCAATATCATCCTTCTCAAGCTCATCCGTATAAGCATATTTTTTATTGCTTTTCTTTCCTTCCGTCCGTCCGTCCGTCCTTCCTTTCTTCCTTTTCTTTTCTGTTTCCTTTTTTGCATGACAAGGCCACGACAGGAAACGTAAAAGAAGGTAGAATTAGGACATGTCAGAAGTCCGCTCATCCCTACATCTAATGGGAGAGTTTTTCAAATTATAATCCATGCAATGAAGCCTAATGGGTGATGAACTAGTCAATCAGCGTATGTATTAGCTTATTCTTCTCAAACTAAAATGCTTTTGAAAGTTAATTGCTTGACTTCTATTGTTTCTTTGTTCATATTGTGAATGCAAGTTCTCATATTTACATTCGAAAATCAATTATGTACATTTGATTTATCCTTAGACTCTATTACAAGGCAATATTGAGAAAATTAAGCTCGCTGCTTAAAAGGGGACCAATATAAACGTCAAAAGGAAAATGAAAAGAATTGATCAGCTATTGATGTAGATTATGAAAAGTACATTAACAATGATTTGCCAATTTCTTTAGAATGAGAGTATCAGGCGATTCCTTAACATAAAGTAATGATAACTAGATTTCTGCAACGTTGAACGTTAATCCAGAAACATCAACTTGAGTAAAACTTTGAGATATGATGTGACTTCGGCTTTGGCGGGGGAAAATTATATCTTAACGGGAAAACACTATACTAATGTCTGTTTTTTTTTTTTTTTTGGGTAAATTACAATTCATCGATCATGGCCCCTTTTATATAAATGGCTTTTATACGTTTTAACCCAAAATCTCATGGTGTTCATGAATAACTTCTTCAGAGTCAAATCTATTCGCACTTAACATCCAAATATGATAGGGTAATTCTTAAAATGTTATCTCATGCGAAGCAATTTTTATCAATATCTTGACAATATGCCATCTTTATATACAATTTTTTTTTTTTCAATTACTCACAGGTGACATCATATTTGTAACATGATCAAGCATTAATATATAATATAATATTTACATGTAATTTAAAATGTTATGTCATACCAAACATACATTTAAAGGTATCATTGCTTGACAAATTTTAATTTCCAATTGTGCCCCCAAAAGGAAAACAGTTTTTCTTTTGCTTAAAAACGAAGTTCCTAAAACCAGATCAGATAGGCATTCTTTTAGGGGCGAAAAAGAAACCAAGGATTCAGATCATTGTCAATACTTTACAACGACAAAGCTAAGCTTGAACATGAAAAAAATGCACAAGGCGAAAACAGAAGTGCACCTTTGATCGTTTGATAATATAAATAATAATTGGATCACAAATTCATCATGGACAAGAAAAACTCTCATTTCAATCTCCTTGTGAACTTTAGGCTGAAACTGCAACTATCGGGAAAGTAACATGGAAGACTAATGGAGATAAAAGAATTAAAAACAAAAATAGGTATACAGAACTAACTTTACTGATTGGTACAAAGGAGGTAGTCCATGATCATATGCATATTCTAGTTTATTCTGTCTTCTCTTCTATGTCACCATTTGAAACTTCATTGCTGTCTTGTACTGGTCTAGCGTCTACCACACTTCGAACATCCTTTGAAGATGATATTGGAGATGGTTTTATGAGTGTCAAGCTAGTCTCATCCTTGTCAAACTCATCGCTAGCATCATCGGTGTATGCATATCTGTGAGAACACAGGCAACCGTGAGAGATTAAACCAGCTGCTTAAATAACATGCATAAATCTCAGCTTGAAGTCAAAACACAGTCCAACTCTATTTAACAAACAAAATAAGATACTGATGAAAAATGGAAAGAATAGAGAAATTCCTTGGTAGATGAAACCAGTCACTGATGAATAAATAAGCATGAAAAATGTCGGTTTAATTGACAAATATATTAACATACTTAAAATTCTTATGCTAACGATACTCGGTTTGTGGTTTGCCTGAGGGTTTCTAAAAGTACCAGTGATAGTAGCAGGATAATACCTCAAAGAAGTTTGAGATGGTGCCCAGAGACAGCAGATCACACACAAGAGAGAGAAAGACAGAACTTGCCAAAAAGCGGGAATGATCCATGCATTCTGCCACTGCTCGTTGTATACATCATTGGATTTGAAATAAAGCTGAAAATATGAAGTTAAAAAAATAGTGAGGTATGGAGAAATAAATTACGTATTTTAATAGGGAAAACATAAACATTATATCTATTCTGTTTAATCTTTCCAACTCTAAGTCCGAGTATAAAGACTTCATATCTGTTTTACGGCATTTGAATCCACTAGTATATAACTAATAACAAACAATAACTTAACCATATCCCAATATCCCATATTAGGTTAAAGTCAATAGACCAACCAATTACAGTTCGAAGATTCATCTCATGCTTCAAAGTCATCTTGCATTGTAACATAATTAGCTTTCAAAAGCTTGCCAATCCAAATTGAGACTGAATGCACTTGATAATTTGCATAATAGATTCGTTTTAGTGGTCTGTGGATGGGATTACCTCATAGCATATCCAGCCCACAGATACAATCACAGCTACTGCCAAGGCGTTAGTGAACTTCCTGTACATGTCTAGTTTCACCATCATCCTTCTAGCCTGTCACATTGCATATGCAGGTTGAGTCATTATTTATATTGCCATAATAAAATTCACAAGATGAATTGATCTTGCTTGATGAAGTATAACATCAAGAGTCCAAGATCAAAGACACAAAGAGGAAGCGGAATTGATACTCCAATCCCAGAAATAATAGCCATATATAATCAGCTGCCCTCCCCTAGTTTCATTATCTGAATATTAAAACATATTAGCACCAAAATTTGGTTACAAGAGGCTAAATTTTCTGCAGATTCGTCCAATCAGTTTTTCTTAACAAGCTTATAAAAAGCAAACATACAACGTACTGGGAAATATCAAACATAAAGTTTGCATTTTCATGTTTACCCTATTGATTGCCATAAGAGGTGTTACTGCCCCATGATCCTTCATCACAAGCAGTACAAACCTAATATAGCTTAGTTATTCTATATGTCCTCATTATAAATCACTGATGTAACTGCAAGATTTAATAGGAATGGATTCCATGTGAATACTGTTACGGATACAAAAAGGGCCATGCTCAACATATTCAAATTATTATATTTAGAAGTTATCATAACAACTCTCCAATAAATGCATAGCAACTTTAGAAGAAGAACAAATAAAAGCATGAACTTGCAGCAAGGTAAACTTCAGTACAAGATATTAGGAATATTCAGGTGGGGGGCATATAAGGAATATATAACTCATATAATTTTCTTCAAACGAACATTAAGGGAAGATATATCCTACAATGTGAATACCTGAAGCTTATTTAAAGTTGCAGAGAGCGAGGTGAAAATCCATAGAATGAAGAATGCATCCAATAATGCAACAGGAAGAACCAAAAACAGTCTTGCTTTTCCAGAAAGATCACTGATTGCTCCAACATTTTCAATTAATTCAAGGACTTCAGATGCAATAAAGAAGGTGGATCCAAGCGTAACCACCTTTGATGTAACCCCACCAAGGGTAGGTCTCACAACTCCATATCCCATTGAAACCATCAAAATGATGAGGCGTGCCACTGTACGCTTAACAGTACCAAAGGTTACTGCCCATACTGTTGTCCCAGTTGGCCTGACTCCGGTCTCATTGAATTCAGCATAGTCAAAGTACCATAATGCCATCTCAAACATGCCCAGGGTTATAACTAGAGTGATGCAGTTCTGCAGTGGAAATACTTCCTTCCAAAATCTAGCATATTGATAGAACCAATAGATCCCAAGTAAAACAAAAGCAAGGGACATGAACCCATAGAAATTCTTCAGTGGTGCCATTCTGCCAGGAAGATAACCACCAGGGTTCTTCCATATAGTTTTCCCTTCTACAACCACTTCTTTAAGCCTCAGATCACAATGAATGAAATACAGGTTATACATCCCAGTTTTTGTTATTTGTATAGACCTCAATGGCAGTGATGCTTCTTCCTCATCTGTGTTAAATGAGATGCCAAAAACTTGAGGCCACGCAGGGTTTACTGTTGAAGGGCGGTAAATGACCTGTCCTTCAGCGCATACACCCAGTTTAGCAAGATCGCCTGTGCAACACACAGCCCTTTGACCACCATAGGCTGAACCGCCAATTGTCTCCCTATCTTCAACTTCAAAGACAACAGCTTGAATTGGCCATGAGCTGAAGTTACTTGATTCCTTGGATCGGCGGAATGTGACCCTTTCAAATCTAGTTTTCAAATGACAACATCAAACTGTGTTACAAGAGAAAATATATACTGATTTTGTGCGACGTCAGAAGAGTAATACCAAAATTTTAAATAATCATCAGAAGAGTAAAAGACCAAGGCCATGTGAACGAAAAACTTAGAACTTAATCACATTTGGAATTGACAAGATAAACGTGCAGTCGAAGTATTCTAATCATTTTTTTCCTTTCCATCACACTTATGAATCTTTCTAAAGTCATTTCGGACATCCTAGTAGAATCAAATCCAATAAGAAATAGTTTACGCCTTATACATTGAAATGCATCTAGAATCCAATATTCACTCATTGCTAGACGTCACCCTTATGCTAGTTGACCATAATTCCTCCTGCTTCATAAAATCCTCTCATAAGCTAGAGATACAAAGGTCAAACTGCCCGGAGATCTCAATTACTCTTTTCAAAAGCAATTATGAATTCGGCATCATTGTCCAACAAAATTCAGTCCTTTTAACCACTCAAAAGTCACGGGACAACCATAAAAAACCGAAACGAAAAGCACTTGCAACAGCAGGCAAGCCCCCACCCCGTCCCATCAAAGTTAACAACTAGCACGCACCAAAACCCCTCAAAACCCAGAGATCAGTGTTATTGCTGAGGTCAAATGAAAATCACCGTATGTAAGAGTTGCCATTCGCAGCTACAGGAGTCTCATTCTGAGAAGCGACGGAAGAGTAAATCCCTTCACTCCCACCGTGCACCACAAAGGCGTTACCCTTGCCAACAAATTTCTCGCCTCTGTAATCGTGAACTGAGGCTTCAATGCACAGAGAAAACACCAAGAGCTGCAAAAATATAGATAGCGCGTGAAGGAACCGCGACATTGGAAGAAGATCAGAAGCCAGAGCAAGAGAGAGAAGCTGGATCTACGGTGGGGGGCAGAAGTGCTTTGTGTCTGAACTCTGAACTGTAATGAAAGAGAAAAAGAACAGAAAATTGAGAGTGAAAAAAAAAATACAAAAAAAAAAAAAGCATGTAAAACTTGCTGGACTTCAAATTTCTGGATCGAGCTATAGAAGCCGCAGTGTGAGCCCGGGTATCAGAAGCAGGGGTGTTAAGTTGCTAACTATGGTTTAGAGCTCGTTTATGAGGGCGGGGCGATTATTGTGTGCGGGTTGGTGTACGGTTTACTGTGGACTTGTGAGTTAAATTAGAGTGAAGCAAGTGAAAGGTGGAAGACAACTGGGAACCCATGTAACTGAAAATTACTTTTGGTATTTTAAAATTGGTTAATTCTATTTAAAAATTTAATAAATTTTTAATTTTATTTTTATTAAATATATTTTTTAATAATTTATTTTTTTTATAAGGGTGAAAAAATAGGATAAAAAATTTAATGACATGAGTTGTAAATATAATATAAAAATCTCCTTTCTTTCTTTTGGTAATATAGCATGGGAATACTTTCAGTTTTAAAAAAAAATAGTATGGGAATACTGCCAAACATTATATTTAAAGGTTCTCCGAGATCTCTCGTTTTTTTTAGCTTTATTTATTTATTATTATTATTATTATTATTATTTTAATTTTTGGTGAGTAAATGACAAGTCAAGGTTGTCGGTGCAGATGTCATTATTTTTGAATTTTGGTGGCAATAGCCAATAACATCTGACTCTGAGTGAAGCTCTTTTCTTTACTATTTATCCATGCAATTGTTGATTTTTTTAAAAGATAATTGATTGTCCTACCAAAAAAAAAAGATAATTGATTATTTTTTTAGAAAAAAAATTATTTCAATATTCTAAATTTTCAAGGTGATGGTGACTAGTTTATACAAATTTTGATAGTCCATCAGTTTAATAGTGAATTCCCTGTCCAGTAAAAAAATATTAAATTCCCTCTGAAGTATCATTGATGACAAATCTTTTTAAAAAATTAATTACCTATAGTTGCTGGCCATTCGCAAATGCTCTAGTCTAATATATAAATATTAAAATTTGACATGTAAATAAAGCCAAGAATAATCAACAAATTTAATTTTTATGATAAATTTTTGATGATTTAATTTGGAGGTCCCTTGACACAAAAAAAAAAAGCCAAAAATATATACCACTCTTGACAGTTAGCCCATTTAAACTTTTTTTTTTAATAATGGTTAAAGTTTGAAAAAATGACATTTTTTTTAAAAGAAACTAAACTTTGAAGCTCATCCCTAATGAGTCTGGAAAAATCAGGCTCAAGCTCGAGCAGCTATTTTTGTTTTACTCATAAAAGATAAAAAAAATTTAATTTTTAAAATATATATTTACATTTTAAAATTAAATTTTTATTATTTTATTTTAAATTTTTAAACATTATAATTTGTATTTTAAAAAAGAATATGAAATATTGTGATGAAAATTTTATTTTTAAAAATAAAAAATAAAAACAAATTCACACAACGTCCCAGCCCCTTGAATAAAAATTGAGTTTCAAAAAATGATCAATTCTAAAATAATCGAGTTTAGCTGGTTAAAAAACAAAAAAAGTAATCAAGTTATGGGTTGAGCGAGCCAAGCCAGAACTCAGCTTGCGTGACTGTGAATGAGATTTATAAAATAATTAAATTTTTGTTTGAAATTTGATTGTATTTTTTAATTTTATTAAGCATTTAAGATATGCATGAAACTGCACGTGGGTTTCGGACATGGTTCTTGCAACCAAATGATTAAATGAAACCACGAATCTCATGGGTCTAAATAAGAAGTGAGGTGTTTATCAATGACCTCTGGGCACACAGCATACAGAGACAATAATAGTGATAACTAATCCAAGCCTACAGTACACAGAAAAGGGCATATAAATTTATTGTAAAATGAATCCAACTGATCACTGTTAAAAGTCTTGTGCTATTTCCCACCATACCATATCGTTTATCATCAATTGAAATCACTAAAATTAACAATTTCTCCAGGTAAACTTCTAAGGAAAAAAAAAAAAAAAGGGGAATGCTCGTATTCATTCAGAACAGTATTACACGTAAGAAGATTCAACAATGTTCAGCCTCCTAATTCCCAGAATGATGACCCACAGCTTCTAACACAGCCCCAACCACCCCAAAAAGAAGAAAATGAGAAAAGTAGCCGCTGAAATATTTGCGGGCAAGAGATATTGAGGTGGTAGGGTGTTCGCTAGTCCAAGTCAAGAAACTCCATTCTTTTCCTCATGGTCCCTTTCAAATCACTAGCCTCCCTTTCCGCCTTCTGAGCCTGCATCATCAATATTCAATTAACTACCAGAGTAAATCCGAACAACCCCCTATAAAAATTCATTTGATGCTTAAAAAATCAGTAAATATGGAACCGTAAAAGGTTTGCTTCAAATGCTCAGAGAAAGAATGACGCACTTATACATAGGTAAATATTGAGCACTGCTCAAAGGCCAATCAAAATATGGAACCGTAAAAGGTTTGATTCAAATGCTCAGAGAAAGAAAGACGCACTTATGCATACGTAAATATTGAGCACTGCTCAAAGGCCAAGCAAAATATCAATATCTACAATATAGTTGAAAAATAATTTAGAAGTGTCGAGGCTAGTCAAAATGATAAATAATCAAACTCATACTTTTCACTGCAAATTTTATTAAATTTATCTCCAGCCATAAAACAAACAAAATTTAAAACCATAATCTCTAATGAAAATTCCAAGTGTGAATCAACTACTCCTACTTAAACCATTTTAAGTAACATCCAAAGCTTTTGGCCTTCTTATAAAATGTCAAATCCGAAAGTTTTCATGCTTTAAAGCAAGTTTTGATAACCATGACATGTATCAAGCTGTCAACTAGTCATCAAAGAAATATAGACACTTGCAGCAGCCGAACAGCGGCAGCCAAGATCAGATTCAAAATAAAACTTGTTGAAGGAAGGGCTTTTGCCTCAATTCTAAATAATGTTATAGGCCACGACCTTCTTTAAAATGAAGACAAGGAGTTCGAGGACCACCAATTAAGACTAGGCAAAAAGAGTTCAGACATATTCTTATTTTCCAATGTAGCTGAAATTTGAGTTGCAAAACGCATCTCTTTGGGACAAAGTCGCAGGGGAAACCTTCATCTTTGGCAACAAAATGATTAAGAAGTTGATGGGAATGTGACGGGGAACACAGGGCCAAGGGAAGTGAGAAGGACAGAGGGGAAAGGAAGGAATTCTTCTGTCTCAGGGCTTCCCACCTTTCATTCTGTTTCTTTTTCAGGATTTTCTTTTCTATTTTTATATTTACTGTGCTTGGCATATGTCTAAGCTGAAAAATATGGAACTTAATAATTCTGACCCATAGGCCATTCCAACTCATGTCAACAGTGTAGAAGCAGATTTCATGTATGATGCATATCCAACATGCCAAGACGCCTACAAAGAGGCATGCACATGCCCCATGGATTGCAAGTTAGTTTCCTCATGTCCCACCGTTAGCATTCCATCAGAGTTCCCTATTGAGTTACAAGAATTACATGGCTTCCTATGGAAGACCTTATATCTTGCGTATGCTTTGCCCATACTTAAGTTAGCAAAATTCTAGCATCTTATATGCCCCGTTGCTTTATATTCCCCTCTTCTTCTCTTGATGTACCAAAATTACCAGAAATTTTAACACTCTTCTACACCTTCCTCAATAAGCTATAAGATGACCTTAGAAGGTCATTCATATTACACCATGGTATCATATACATGTCTCAGGGACGCAGACCTCCCACTTCGTATTTCTTAAGTGCATCCAACTTCAAGTTAGAACCAGTCAAACAACTACAAAATTGACAAGCTTAACTTGAAAAATGTCACATCTTTATTCATCTAATTAGATAAGACTATTTTTACCTCCATACAGAACTATGTAATGTGCAATAATAGTCACGCATAGATTCAGACTAGTTATTAAGTCATCATAACCAATTACTGATGGTATGTCACTAGACTCTGATATGTAACTTGCTTTAAGGTGGCATAATAAATCTCAGCTTCTCCACCTTTCTTCATATTCAGCCTTTTACTGTTTTGCCATCTTGTCACTGCCAATGGTGCTAACCAAAACAATGATGAATAGAGGAAATGACTTCACAGAATAATTTTTATTTAAAATTGTTTATGTGTTGATAGTGAAATGAAAACATCACCAGCTTAGCAAGCTTTGTATGGGGATTTTAGCTTTTAAGTTAGGGTTGTTTGTCAACAGTATATGCATGACAGGGGATAAATAAGTTACAACGTAATATTATCTTCACTCAATGGGAGAAATGCATACCAGAAGTAGACATCCAGCTTCAGTAAACTAAAAGCATCAATCTAGAAATATTTACCCCTCTAATTTCAGGCACTGAAACACGTGTCATGTGCTGTGGAAGCTCCTCCTTCTCCATGTCCTAAAAGTTGAAGGCAATTGTAAAACTGAGGTCTAAAAGCCCAAAAAGGTTACTTTATGTAAATGGAAGAAATCAGAAACCATACCAGCTCACCAATCAAAACAACATTCTCCCCACGGATAACATAGAGACCTAGAGGGATATCACAATAAAGATCACCAACTATAACCCTCTCACAAGCACCCTCTAGAACAGCATTAGCTGCATATCATTAATACAAGATATGAGATACTCAGCATGAAGCGGGTCAAACCATGAACAAATGTATGAAAGTTGGTACCAAATTGATCAAACGAGCGAAGTGTTCCCAACAGTTTACGGCCATCTCGCAGCAACACAAGAAGTTTCTCTAAAACATAAATAGCATGGAACATCAAGAATTGGCACAATAATTACAAAAAAAGCTTACGCGAACAGTATAATCAAGAGGAAATTTACAACTCCATCTGGCTTCCATTTCCTTCAAATCAATATCTAGGTGTTTCTTTATAGAGGTGGTTTGTACAGCACAAGCAATGTAAAGATTTTCAGTGAACAAAATATATATATATATATATATATTTAATGAAAGGCTAAACAAATTATTTTAAAATAGCAGAATTTGCAACTTTTCCTTGATACAAATGTAAGATAAATAGGCATCACATCATCAAGCATTCACTTTAGCTGGAGTTATTTTAACTGTCCGGCCTTGGGAGTTGAAACAACTATACTGGAAAATGATAAGAGGCTCATGCATACCCTTCAATTGCAGGAGCAGCAAAAACTATGGTAGAATTAAGAAAGAATGCTACTGGATCGAATTAATGCAAAACAAAAAAAAAAAAAGGAATACAGAATCAGGCTCTTAACAAAATTAATGTTGTAATCTCAAACGCTGTTATATAAATGGTATCTAGTACAACGACATCATACCAATAACCAATCAAGTTTAAATATTTCCATGTTTCCTGCTTCTTGTAAATTATATTTTTATATAAACTAGACTCTAGAGGCCCTCAATTTTAACATCTAGTATTTTTTTGGCCATACATTCAACAGATGAGGATTATTGCAATTTCTGATTCTCTACACGTTCAAGCTGTTATTCACATCCAAGTTCCCAAGCTACAGATGGTAGGCGTCAAATATATCATCTCCCATGCACCATAAGAATGTAAGAAACTAACATGCACAATGTATGTACAATAAATGAAAAGAGGCTCCTTTCCCCATAAAATGGTTAACCCTACACTAAAATTAAGACTCAAGTATACTTGGCACATCATAGGATGACCAAGGATTTATCGATAAAATAATTGCAACATAAACTTCAACAGAAATATCAAACAAGCAGAAGCCAGTCCTTCCTCAACGTAACAGTACGCTTAAATTCACTGTTCTGGAAGTAATAAGTTCAATTGATACATATAATCTTCCTCGAATCTCTATATCAATATGGAATAGTATATAAAGGGAGAATTCTCACTGTCAAGATAACTAGCAAGTGAAGTAGAAAGGTAGATATCCTCCGGGCCTGCCCAAGACATTATGGAGCTGAAACGTTTTCGGTATCTCAAAAACCACCGAAAAATTCTCTAGAAACCACACAAATGGCATTGGCAGCACAGATTGAACTCTGGCGCCTCACCAAACACTTCAAGAATCCGTGATAACAACAAAAACCGGATAACCCTAAACCAACCTACAAAGAGAAGAAGATTTCCTCCGCTCAAAAAACCCTAACTTTCCGCAGGCGATCAAAAGGTAAAAGACCTTGAGTCTTAGATTCAAATCAGAGTGAAGCCAACAAACATGAGTTCACTCTTCCGGATGGATGGAAGTAGGTGGTCGGAAAAACTCCTGATCCAATGTGGGAGGAGTGAATTGTGGCAGAAAGGAATAGAGTTTGAAGATAAGAGCTAGCGGGAAAAGATTGAGAAAGCAAGGGAAACCCAATATATGGGTCTGAATTTGCTAACTCTAGGGTTAGGGGTATGGGTTGGTGATAGCTGGACGGAGATGAGTCAAGCTGCTAGTTCCTTCCTCCATTATCCCCGTTTGCCTGTTCAACTGATGACCGTAATTATTTGCGGTGCTCCACCAGTTTCATTTCACTGTACAAGGTACGGTTCCGTTTGGCTTGTTAAAGCATTTTAAGTTTTTACGCTATGTTTCCTTGGGAGGGGCACTGGGAGAGAAGTTGTGGGATTTCAAAATAAAAAAAATCAATTAAAATTAGTACATGAGTTAATTTTTGTTATCCTTATATAGGAATATTTATTTTTGAAAGTGTAATTCCAGAGGGAATCAGATGTCCGTCCATCCAGAAAATAATTGCATGAGGTATAATTAAATAATAAGTGATTTGGCCATTTGAAATGAGACATGAGAATTGTTTTCCCTCAACCAAAGTATTTCTCTCTCTGACATCTTTTAATTATCCTATCAAATTAATATATGCCCGTACACTTGCATCGAATTAAAATTGGCCATACTGTTCACAAGTGAAAAATGAGAGACTAAAGAACAACGTGTTAATCTATAATAATACTGAGCATTGTTCATCTGCTAATCATATAAAGAGAGAAGCTAACATCTCAGCACAGAAAAAAGTGGAGTCAAGAGTACACAGTACAGGTACAGAACAGATCAATCCTTTCTACAATTTTCTGTAACATGAGTTGCTCTGCATTAGCAGATACAACCATGAAAAAAAGGGGACAAAACAGAGACACATTCTCTGCACCATCCATATCATGATGGTGCAGCATCATAGCTGAACTCTGTTTCTAAAAATCCGAGCTCCACTTCATCATCTAATCACCATGCTTATATATTTGACTCCTTGCTCGAGTCTGAGGCACTGTAATATTGTACATCTGCACACGAGGGTATTATGATGTACAGTTAGATACTTGTATGCTTCAAGTATGAGAATAAATGTTTATAATATAGTTGTTTGCAGCAGAGTCGTCTTGAATCAGATAAACTTGGTTATGAATTTGTTATATTAGCCTTCCAATAGAATTTGGATGAAGGCATTCTTGAGGTATGTGCACTTTTGTTGCTCAGTGATATTTAATGAAATTGAAGAGCTTACCTAAACAAGTGAACAAGAAAACAGAGATGGCGCCAAGGGGAGCAGATCTATATCTCTAGAACAATATCTGCAATAAGAAAAAGGATCTCATTAGTCCGTGGATTTTTCAGAGCTGTCATTTTCAATTTCCTGCCCCATAATACATTATATGAAAACTAGAAAACTAGCTTGAACTTACACTCAGAATCGGTTCTGACCCATTTACAACCATCGTTAATTTTCTTTTCTGTATGTTCTTCTTCATTTCTCTTCCTTAGTGTCCTTTTGTCCTCAAGGCGCTTCTTTGTTGGTGAGGCCCGAGATGGAGAACATTGAGAGTATAAATTCTTGTGAAGTATTGTCCTCAAAAGCTATATTTATAATCACAGTGAACAGAAATTTAGTATAGATAAATGCAGCATGATGTATAAAAAAGCACAGACTAAAATGGAAAAGCAAACAATCAATGCAAGTATGTTCCGTTCCAATCTACTTAGCTCCCACTTCACTAGCGAAGGTTCAAGAGTCAAGACAAACTCTGTATCAACATATGTGCTTCAATTGGGTCAATTTAGTATTTCGTCTATTTCTAAGAAAATACATAGTCCATTGCCATGAGGGACAAGTAACCAACAAAAATTTACAATGAAAAAATGTAATAGTAGATGACATTATCTGAAACGTCCATTCTGGTGAGCTTTCATTACCTCAGTGTAGCCAAATGTCGCATTTTAGAAAAATTAAAAAAAAAAAAACAAAGAAGCTGTATCTCTCGAGAAAACAAGTGGTTTAACTGTTAGATCTATTTTCAAGTTCTTATTTGAAGTATTTGATTAATAAAATGCTCAACTTTCTGAGCGGCCGACCCCATCATAAAATCACCTAATGTTATGTATGTACTTGAGGAGTTCTCAATTCTCATCAGTTGATTCAATTCGGTCTTGCGCTGTGAGTTTGTGATCATTACCACGTGTTAATCATTTACTAAGCATTATATATATATATTTGGCCAACATCAGGCATTATATAAAACTGCAAAGAGTAGAGAGACGTTTATGCAAACATGTGGCGTGTGTACCTTTTCCATTCTTGACTCTTGTAGGATGTCTCTGAGACTGGGTTGTGGAGCAAACCCTCTCGCACAAACGAACATCTTCTTTATCAGAAACGAAATCGATTTCTTCCCAATGGCTTTCTTGCTATTATCTGCACAAATGTTTTTGCATTTACCCAGTATGACACTAAGCGTCTTCTCAATATCTTCTTCTTCCTTATTATTACTGTTAGTAAGATTATCATCGGGATCAGTGCAAAGCGCGTTGCTGATTCTCCGATCAACCTCCAAGCTGGATGGGCAGTTGAGGAATCTATCCAGAGGAAGCTCAGCGATTTCCTTTTCGACATTTTTGTTGGGTTTTCGTCGCAAGAGCTTGGTTAACTCCTTCTGTAGTTTCCCGATTTCTTCGGGAGTGAAATCTGCTAATTCCTCAGACGATGAAGGATCGTCCTCCGGAGGATTCTGGGTCCGATCGTTATGATTTAGGGTTTCTTTTATTTCATTGTTGTTTCCAAAAGTCCCAATGGCTAAGAGGCCATGAGGCCAGTCGCTGAATTCTTCTCGAGGCTCTTGTTTTGCATGATCTGTGTTCCAACCAGGCACATGAGAGCAATAAATTAGACGTAGCAAATGGTTTTAAGCAACCCAGATAAATTTAGTGTTTAGTAATGGACAATTACACGAAATTTCCTCCAAAAATATTTTTCAAGTTTTTTTTTATAAAAATTCATATTTTCAATATCTGAATTCATAAATTCTAGTAAAATATATAAACACATTTAAAAAGTGATTTTTTTCACAAAAACCAATGAAATGTAATTTCATTTTAGGGTGAAGAAACTTTAAAATTAAAATTTATGACTTTTTATTTTTAAATAATCTAGGTATAGCCGCATAGGATTTAATTGTTACCTTCTATAATTTAACATAAAGGCTTTTTTTAAGAAGAATTGGCTAACATATCTTGGTATAATTATTTCTTTGTTACCTTGAAAACTTGACATTGAGATGGATCGAATTCCCTCCCAGTATATTTTTTTCTGGGTCAAAGTTCCCTCTTAATATTATCCGACAATTTTAAATAGATTAAATCTTTTGACCCTACTAACTACTGAGGTGGATGTATGCTGCAAAAAAAAAAATCTTTATAAAAACTATTCCCTTGTGAAATTAAAATTATTAAATTACCTTTATTATGTATATATTGAAAATAAAAAAATAATTTACTTTCATATTAAAAAATAAAATCAGTCTTTTAAATTTTGTGAGAAAAAAAAGAGGAAAAAACTATATTTATAGAGTTAGAAACTACTCCCTCTGTTTAAAAAAATATCAAACATTTTTTAAAAATTTAAATATTTAAAAATGTAAGACATTTTTAGTTTTTCAATATGTAATCATTGTCATTTTTTAAAAAGTATCCTTATTGATAATGACTTTATATTTATTGTAAGTTATTTAATAAAAGTAAATATAAAAAGATAGGGTTAGTTAGAAAGTAGATAATTACTTTATTGAAAAATAAGATTCAATTAAAAATATTTTATATTTTTAAACGGAAGGAGTAAATAATAGTCAGATATAATTCATTCAGATTAATGCAACATTTAATAATTTTTTTTGATAATTGTGCGCCATATATATATATCGGAGGAGGCAAGATCAAAATCAGTGCAGTAACAAATGTGTCTTCTATTCTAGACAGCATCGACAACAGTGTTCCGCGTCTGTAGAGATCCAATCTAAGTCCTTGTGTCTGCTACAGGCAGAAAACTAAAACCAAACAAAAATAAAAGCGATAGCTTTTTTTTTAAAAAAAAAAATTACTGTCTGAATATTCTATATTATCCGATATTATGGGAGAGGTTTAGTACGGTAATCCAAGAAAGAAAACTCTTGGGATGTGAATATGTTAACTTGGAATGTTTTATAGATTAGCCCATAGGAGTAAACCACATCATATTTTAAGATTATACATAGTAATATTTATGCATCTTGTGTCCTGACGGACTGTGTGTTTTTTTTTTCTTTTAGTTATACAAAGGTTCGAACTTCAAAATGGACGAAAATAAATATCAGAGTGAACTGTTCATTTGAAATATCAACAATTAATGCAAACAAACACAAAACAAGATCCTATGTGGCGGATCTCCATTTTATTATTGGATCTGCTGCACGTATGTTGGGCTTGTATGATCAGAATGAGGATGATCTTTTGTCATGCACGAGTTAAAAAGCGAAGCATCGTGAAAATGAAACGAGAATGCGTGACAAAAGTAGAATAGAGTACACCCACACCCACACCCACACCCACACAGACATGAACAGATCCTTAATTCATAATTAACTAATTAAGCACATAACTTAGGTTTAGATCATCAGTTAATACATCTTAGTGTATAGATAGATAGATAGATAGATACAGCTCGATCAAGATCCTTAAAAAACAGGAAAATGTGAATCAATGAAGAGCAGTGAAGACTTACAAGTAGACGACGCATATGAGTTTGGTTTTCTGTTCTCTTGTTTTCCTGCAAATCTAGTTTGCATCCAGCTGAAAAACTGCAAGTGTGAACAATCGTGATGAGTCCACGCAATTTCGAGAGCAGAAAGACAGCATTAATTAACTAATGCCTGGGTCTGACAAAACTACAGACACAAACACACACACACACGAACACTGGGATTTACCTTCATTATGAGGGATAGAAGCTAATCAAAAGAAATAGAACGTATGAGAATGTATAGTGATGGATGGTGAGAGAGGAAGTAAAAAGTTGCAGAATCACTGAATCCCAGTGAAGAGAATGGCCGTTGAAGAGATCTTAAAAGCCAGAGGAGGATGGACTTTGGGATTGGAAAACCGAGATGGGGATGAATATTTTGATGAATTTCATGGCCAAATTGAAGCGTGTTGCTCTAATTTAGCTTGATTTCTCTTTGGGTTCAAGTCCCCAATGGCTGCTTTAAATTTTTTTTTTTTTTTTTGGAAAATCTCCTTTCCCAATCTGTGTCTCTGTATCTGACCAATCTTCCTTCCTCTCTTTATATATATGCATGTCTCCCATTTTAATAATCTCGAATCTATTATTCTATTCAATACTCATTAAAGAGCACGAAAGACATTCCTCCTCTACCGTGTTCCAATTTCAACCGTTGGATCACAAAATGCTGATCTTGAGATAAAGATCTGAGTCCTCAAAGAGGAGAGAAACCCAATCTCCATACCATATATATACATATATATATATATATATATATATTCTCATTTGTTGAGCTATTTTAATTTCATCAATAAGGACTATACGTCCCATCATTCATACAACTATCTTTTTTTAAGTTTATGTATACGACATATGTTTACTTGCTTGTACATACATATATACACGCACATACATCTCCATTAATATTAATACCATATAAAAAAGTAGCAGATGTTTATATGTATGCACATTTTCTAGATCTTGTACTGTGAAATCGATTTCACGTACAGTTGTGAGATAGTCTATGGGTCACTGTTCCAAGTTCCATACGAAAAAGAATGATAGAATAATACTGAAACTTCGTCCCACGAAGCCAGAAAATTCGCACAAAGTCTAACTTGTGTCGGTATTGTTGCACATCAGAGAATGTACTGGCACACATACTGTACATATATAATTAATATGGTTATATCTGTTAATCTGCACCTGTCACCGAATGGTTGGAATTTTTGTACCAACCCTAATATTTTGTTCCTCCCAATATATCTATGTGCTAGTAACGGCATGTGTCTTGGAACTTGCAAGTCTATTTCAGCAGTACTATACAGAACGATCATCTCTCTTTCATTTGTTGAAGAAACGAAACTCTGTAGCGCAGAAAGAGAGAGATCAGAGACTTGAAAGAAACGTAAAAATCTGAACCATGCAGACAAACGGATCGGAGATGAGAGGCATGGGCAGCACAGCTAGCAACGAAGACAAATATCAAAATCTGAAAAAGCAAGATTGCCATATCAGAGATCTGCGTAATAATGTGTGTGTACGCGTATGTATGTATATGTATATATATGCATGTGTGCGACATTCTGAACAAGAAGAAACCATAGTCGCATGGGAATGTCGCCTTTTCACAAGACCAATTCCTGGGTTTATTTCACCTGCTCCGCCAACTTGCCATGCTCGAGAGAAAATCCTATATAATTGTATTACTTTAATTATCTGATCATATATGATCTTTTTCTATATCTCTTTTGAGGTTAGATGTAAGTACATATATATATACATATATAATAGATTAAATTGAAGAAGAGGTATATAAGTGAAAAGAAAAGGCTCCTCATAAATCCAATCCAATATCTATAATTAAGGCATATTGAAGAAGTGGGTACGTATCAAGTTGACTCAATTAAGAAGATGGACATAACTAATTAAGCTATAAGATGGTGGCATGGGATCCAATGAACCATTAGTATCAGTTGCTGTAAAGTAATATAAAAGTAGTACATATTTATGAGTGCTACTGCTGCATGATTTTGAAACCCTAACAAATCAGACTGTACTGCTGTATAATCATTTGAAATATTGTAAGAGACGGAAAATATAAACATGTCTATTGCCATGTATGCTTGAATATTTTGTCATTTGAGATTTGATGATTTAATAGATGTTAATTAATGTTATCTATCAAGAGATCAGAGCCCGTTGCCTTGTAATTAACATCGCAGAGTATTGATTTGCCCCGGTACGGTGTAGTTACCCTTTTTGTTTTAGCACTGAATTAATAATTTTTTATAGTCATGTGTGTGTGTGTGTGTGTGTCACACAAAAAATATTATTATATAGTGTTAGTTGTCAATTGCATATTTGTGCATGATCAATTAATTATTACCCAAGTAACATCGATACTTAATGTAAAATATAACCTGCAGAAATAATATGTCATGAATTTTTACTTAAATAAGTCCTAATTTATAAATAGTGTGATTTATATCAAATTTCTTGCAATAATGATAGAGAAAAACATGTCTAGTCAATGTTAATACAAACGTAAAATCCATAATAAAACTATGAACATGTTGATTTCTAAATATAATATGACAAAATAACTTTCTTTTTTGTTCCTTTTTTAATTATAAGAAAATACATTAAAGGCGGGAAGCGCATTATAAAGTGATGGGAGTTAGATTATCGTAGTTAGCCACGTGTTGCGACACGGTGATTCTCATCATCTCCTGTCGGATCAACACGTGTACCAAAGGGGTCGGGTTGACTTCTTTAGTTTATCTTTCTAAAATCTAAATCCATTCAACCAGCAATATTATAGTTAAGCGCTATTTAACCAACCAAATTGCATAATAAACTCATTTTTTGCCTGATTTGTCGCATTAACTTGAACGTTAATCTCTAGAAACAACACTCAGCAGTATGATCCAATTTTCCTTTTTAGCTCCATAGAATTTTATTTGGCTTCTAAGATATATAGATTTTATTATATACATACACACATTTTTCCTAATAACAAAACTTATCATTACACATAAATAATTAGACCCGCTGAAGCTCTCGTCAAGATAAATTCAAAATATTAGAACCTATTAACGGCTAGTTTAAATTATAAAAACTATAATGAGGTGTAAGTAAAAATCAAGGATATATTTGATTTGAGGGAGAAGATGGAGAAGAGAGACGATAATCCCTTGCCTGGTTTGATTGAAGGGGAGGAAAGCTAATAATAAATTGACAATTTCACCTTTATTAAAGTTTTTTTATTAAAAAATAGTTATACTATCAATAATTTTTTTAAGAATCAATATATTAATATTGTAATTTATCAATGTAAATTCAATGAAAATATACTGAAATTTAATTTAAAAAATATTGAGCTAATATATAATATTATAATTCATCTGATGAAAGTCTTGCGCGTTGGGTATTATTTCCTCTTTTGTGTTTCCAGTTTTATTCTTTAGGACTTTGGAGTAAGATAGTTTCATGCATTTTCTTTAGGTTTAAACGATAAATTAGCTCCTAAATTATAGATCAGGAATGTCTAGAATTCTAAATTAGTTTCCAGTGTAAGGTTTCCTTTTAACATTTCAAATAGTGCAATATAGCTGTTGCCATTAACAAATATTAATTTTAATCATTAATTAAAAAAATATAGAAAAAGGCCTTGAAAATATAGAAAATAATGAAAAAGTTTCTCAGTCTTTTTTTCCTTTAAGTTTTTATGTCTAATTTTTGGGTCCTTTTATGTGATTTTTTGTCCATTTCATGTAATTTGTGAGCTTTTTTTATGCCATTTCCTAATCGATTAGTTATAAAAGTTAATTTTTGTCAATACTAGATACAACATTGAACTTTTTTTAAAAGCTAATAGAAAACATTGCACAAAAATTAGTTTAAGGTCTCAATATTTTTGTACCTATAGTTTAAATGTCAATTTATCATTTAACCCTTTCCTTCGCTTTTTATTTTAGAAAAAAATTATTTTTTTCTTTTGATTCCAATAAAAAAATATTGAAATTTTATATATGAAAAAAATTATTTATTCATTTTTATTGGATAATAAAACTTATCTTATTGTAAGAGAGAAACGACTTACTCCTTCAGTTTTTAAATATAAGAGAAAATAACTAATTTACAATTTAAAAAAGTTAGTTAAGTGTAATAATTATACTAAAATTAAAAAAACTTGACTAAATTATCTTTGTAATTAACGAAACAAACTTGTTTAGTGAAAATAAATATTGACTTTATGATAGAAAATTTGATACAAATATAATAAATGCTTCTTAAAATTTGTAAATTTGTTTATAAATAAAAACAAAGAGACTCAAGATAATTTCACTTATATTCAAAAAAGGAGGAAGTAACTTTTAATATTATAAATAGTTTTGAATTTTCAAAGTAACATGAAAGTAATTGCGTCAAGTATAATTTTTAAATCATAAAAATTTTCCCCTTCAAAAAACCCCAATTTTGAGGGAAGTGATATGGCTCCTTGAATTTTCAAATCAAACAAAAATGTTCATTCCCTCTCCTTGTTTTTTGTCAACCAACCAATCAAAGGGAAGCAATTTCCCTCCCCTCTCCTTTATTTTTTATCAGCAAATAACAAAACAAGGGGAAGGAAGCAATTTCTCTCTCCTCTCCTTCGTTTGCATTGCTTCTCAACATTTCAAGCTTCTAAAGACAATAATTGAGTTTTGCTTCAATTGTGTTGGCCATCTTATCAACATAATTTACCTCACCCATACCTGTATCAAAGTTATATCATATATAGTTGCGGCTACTTCTGGTTATGTCCCTTGTCTCTCCCCATGCTTATGCCAATATTCATAATTTTGATTGATTTTATTAACTATTAAATGATCTTCTAATTTTCTTGCAATGACCTACCTTATAAGTCCACATATTAGACAAGGGCACACAATACTTTTAGTGCCTCCCTTATATTCGACAACAACCTTAATAAAGTAGGACACTCTCTCCAAATATTTTCTTGATCATCAATCTACATACATTCATTTCTTATTTATAATCATCCCAATCTATCACAAATTGTTCAAAGAGATGTTATGAGTAGTCGCTCAATCATTGCAAGTGTAAGATAATAAATAAATTAACTACTAATTCAATGCATTACTCATGAGCCACATACTTTCACATATATATTTTCCCTTACTATCAATTGTGCTAAACTAATTGTAAGTACTCTTAAAAAAAAATTTAGCTGCATAATGGATTAAAGTTTTGACTTTCTCTAGTACTTAGCCCCCTCTTCATGCTTAATTTCTTCCTTGTACAATCTAATCAAGCCTAATTCAACCCCAAATAGAACAAGGTTTAAATCAATTGATAGCTAAGTAATAAAACTGTAAAATTTTATTACTTTCAAACAAAAAACCAACAATAAAACGACTTAAAAAATTAGATTTTCATAGACATTTTGTCTTCATTTCAATCAGAACAATAACAACAACATCAACAAT